GTTGAAGGATGCCACAAACCAATAGCTGGTGAGGAGAGATCAGGGGCTCCATGGACTCCAGGATACGCCAAACCCAAGGCGGGATTTTCATTAAAGTGTTCGGGTGTTTTTATCCTAATTCCAAGTTGTATAAAAAGTATATGCATGTAATTAAAAAGCCAGAACAGTCAGACATGGGGGGCTGAGCCGCTGAGGCAGAGTACTTTTTTTAAACAGATAACAGCAGGACTTCCCGTTGAGAAATAACCCGTCTGGTAGATCAATTTGAAAGAGAGAGAGAGCAGAAGAATGATTAGATGTCGGGCCACCAGACCTGTTTTTTTTCTTCCGGTGAATAATCCCTCTCGATTCATATGCGAACTCTCCTAACTTTTAAAATTGACAATAAAACAAAAACGACGCATTTAGAAAACTGTAAAGCAAGTTTTATATATTTAAAATATCAAGTTGCTTCAAAGTGGAGTTTTCGTTTAAGTACTTTTGCAGGTACTCAAGTAGAAACTTAAATCTGTCTGTCTGTCTGTCTGTCTGTCTGTCTGTCTGTCTGTCTGTCTGTCTGTCTGTCTGTCTATCTATCTATCTATCTATCTATCTATCTATCTATCTATCTATCTATCTATCTATCTATCTATCTATCTATCTATCTATCCACACAATTGTTCTACATTGTTTTACCCGCAAACTAAACATCCCTTCATAAATAAATAAATAAAATAAATAAATAAATAAATAACTCACCGCCTGTTTTAGGGGGATTCCTCTTCACCTTCATCCAGTCAAAGGTTTGCCCCTGTCCCGACTGATGACTGTCCTCATCTTCCCTCCCTCGGTCCTGGGATACTGCCAGCTCTTCATACCCTCCTGCTTGCTGGAACCCCAGGTAAGCCACTGTTTCCAGACCCCCGCCAATCTGCTGCGGGTACTGAGAGCTGGCAAGAGGCCCCTGCGGCCCGCAGTACGACCCGGAAAGAGTGCTGTAGCTGGGGCCGACAACTGGGGCGGAGGTAGGAAAGGGTGATTGATGGTAGTAAGTTGAGGCCACCGACTCCTCCATAAAATACTGAGGCTGGACGGAGCTGGGAGGACCCGTGATGGCTACATACTCGGAGTTTGTAACGCACGCCTGACCTGCGTAGGCCCCGGATGTGCATCCACTGCCGTTTGTATACTGAGTCAATAATCCACTCTGAGAGCTTTGGTTCTGGTGATGTTGGAAGCCGTTGTGTGTGTGCTGTTGTTGTTGATGCTCCAGATGATTTATTGGATGGTGCTGCTGATGCTGGCTCACTCCTCCGGTCTCGTGCGCCCCTCCGATGCCCGCTGCGGTGTTTCCGTACACCCCTCCGTCTGCGCTGTACGCGCTGTCACCGCCGGCCCCGTTCACCGGGACAGAGGAGCCGCTGAGGCCCGTGTGGAGAGACCCGGGGGTAACTGAGAGGCCATGGTGCTGATCCAGGGGAAGGTGGTGGTGATGCAGATGATGATGATGATGATATCCAGTTTTAGGGGCAGGATAAGATCCGCTGCCTGGTCGGTTACAAATAGAGTATTCCACAAAGGAGTTCATGTTGTCCATGAAGACCCGTAAAGCTGAAAGTTCTCCTTAAGCAAGAACAACAAGCCAACGAAAGGCGGAAAGAAAAACTATATCTAAAAAACGGGAGAAAAAAACAAATCAGATAATGAAAATGTTTTCAAATGTAAACAACATCATGATAAAAAGAAATATACTGAACTGTTGGGGAAAAAGAGAGGCCAAATAAATTAGCTGAAAACAGCTGGAAAAGTAAAACCATCACATTACAAACAACCGAGTTACACATGAATCATGTCCTCTGGTGTGCTGCGGTTCAGGCCGTTGATACGTGAACGGAGGGCCCTGCTGTCACTCAATCTGCAGTTTCCAGAAACTCGTCGGTGCCAGCACAGAACAACGCGAGAAGACACGCAAGACTTGAGACGCCTCTTTACTCGCTTTCCCTCAATTCTGCTCCATTCTATATTTTTCCCTTCAGCTGCTCTACTTTTCCTCTTCTTCTATTCTCTGTCTTTCTCTCCTTTGTGTAACATGTTTTCCACTTCTTTTCTTCTCTTCTACCTCTGTCACGGGTCACGTGACATATCGCCTATGGTGACCAATGCAGAAGTTGTCAGCTGGCCACAGGAGCGAGAGAAACAGTGTAATGTATGTGTTCGTTGGCCTGTGTGTGTGTGTGTGTGTGTGTGTGTGTGTGTGTGTGTGTGTGTGTGTGAGTGTGCTGGTCTGTGCGTGGCGGGGGAAGTACAGAAGTCGGGATTCTCAGAAGAAGTGGAGTTTATGTGCGCGCGCATTGGTTCTGGCGCACACGCCTCATCCATCACTCTGCGTGGCATTAGCACGACAAAGAGGCTTCAATCAAACCGGCCCATCAATCTGATATCAGCGCGGATCTGTCAGAGCAAAGAGAGGGCCGCAGAATAAAAGAGGAGCTGTGAGCTGGTTTGCAGACCTCCTCCCAGCAAAATGCTCCCAGAACAGAACAGAACAGAACACATCTGAAAAAGCAAAAGATACAAAGGTACAGGATTCCACCATGCAGAGACAGCCTGAGGGATTCTTCCGGGCTTATGAGTTCCCATTTGCTCTGATGTGTCTTTTACAGTTACAATGTGTAATGATTGGGTATCATTTTGATTTATCTGAACTTTCAGTTTGACCGACGTAACAACATTCCACTTAATTTGTTTCTGAAAACATATCTATGTTATTTTTACGTAATGGTTCAGACTCACAGGCAACAGCACTTACAGTCTTCATGTCAAACCTTACTGAGGGATAGGATCACTGAACTCAAAATACGGTTTTGGCTTGAGGAAAAGTTAATGGAAAAAACGGCTAATCATTGAAAAGTGAATGGAGGGAATTATTATGAAGATGTTCGTGTTTTATGCTTATAAGATATATGCAGAAGATCCATATTTTGGGGTAAGTTAAATCTGCTGTCAAGTCTGGACCATGGACAGCTCAGATAAAGAATTACCATAATTTCTATAAAAAAAATTGATGTTCTTTTTTCTCTTAGTATGTGTGAATAACAGCAGTAAAACGACCAAGATTTGTCCTTGGAAGTCAAAATGTGAAAGACTATTTTCACATTTTATACCCTCTATTTATTTGCCACTTTTGAAGAACCAGCATTCAGTAAACACTCCATGAGTTACTTTTCATGTTGTCCACAACACCTCCAGCATTATCAACAGTGTAATGCATGCTTTAAAATATAGAGAAGGAATTTGGAAAATGAATTTGCTTAGCAAAAAATCTAATTCATCACTTTTACTCATGTGAATGAACTATTTTAGTAGTTTAAACTAATCGCTTTTTATTACATGCAGGCCAGCGTTCCCTCACTGTATGTCATATAAGCCTGCTCACAGCTGATACATTTGAATAGTTATAGTTTATGTGGTAATTAGGACATTCAGTGTTTTATGTTACACTCTCCTCTTGAGAGGAAAGTATTTCTGATCTTAGATATAGAACTCTCTGGTCTGAGTGTTCAGTTGTATCAGAGCAACATGTGAAACGACAGCAGTCAAACAGACACTGAGGTGTTTTCAGATGGGTCAGATTGCATAAACTATTGTAGGAATAATTTATGCCTTTGCTAAGTGCATCATGTTATATTTTGAACTGAGAATTTTGGTACAATGGATTGATAACACCAAGACAACATTAACTCACCAGCCAGATTTATGCATGAATGTTCAATATTCATTTTCATTTAGCTCTTGTCAAGTTTGTTGCACTTTACCTTTAGTTCTTATCAACATTCATTGCTGTGAAGAATTATCGATCTGGCTTTATCTTATTTCTGCACGTTTTCTCTGCAAGATGGAGCAAATGGTTCTGCAGACCCAGAGGTCCATATTGATCTGACAACCCCATCACAGGGACGCTTAGTGAGTGAGCTTACTTTTCAGCAAATGGTTTGAGCAGCCATAGATTTCTGATGGGTGACAGTAGAGATCCACCAGTGTAAGAGTGTATACTAATTGAATGAGTGAGCTGATCTATTACAGCAATGAAGTTAAGTTAGACAAGATGCCTTCTGGTAAGTCAAAGCCTGCCAGTGCAGCATGAAAGGAATCTAAGGCAACAACACAATGTACTGTGATCCTGAGGCCTGGAACCCCTGCCAGAGTTTAGTGTGTGTGTGTGTGTGTGTGTGTGTGTGTGTATGTGTGTGTGTGTGTGTGTGTGTGTGTGTGTGTGTGCGCGTGCGTGTGCTTGTGTGCTTGTGTGTGTGTGCGTGTGTGCATGTGTGTGTGGGGATGTGTGTGTGTGTGTGTGTTCACGCGTGTGTGTGCGTGTATGTCCGTGTGTAGGTGTGTGTGTGTGCGTGTGTGTGTGTGTGTGTGTGTGTGTTTTTAAAACTGTTTTATATTAAACTATTTCAAACTAAAATCTTCCCTAAGTTATTTGTTTTGGACCCGTTTGAAAGTGAAAAGGAGAAATTTGCAAACAATTTTTTTTTGCAGATGGTCATTTACCTTCTAAAAGGAAATTTGTTATTACTATTTGTGTGAGTACCTCTAATGAAGCCTTCATCAATTTCTCTCTTCAAAGGTCCCCATGGAGGGCATGACAGCAAACACGCTGCCGTCCTGCCGCCTGGACAAAATTAGGACAAGCTAGTGGGCGAGTGACAAGAAGAGCGGTTAATCATCAGTGTTGTCTGAAAGGAGAGAGGCAGGCTGAGTGGGCAGGACGGCTGCAGGAACAGACTTGAATAAGAAGAGTAAATGACACACAAGAAATTAATTGAACCAACTTAATTGAATTGCTTCAATTGGTAACAAGCAATCCAATTAAGTTTATCCAACTTAATTTATTAAGTTTAACCAATTCAATATATTATAGTCATCCAACTCAATTTGTTAATTTTTTTTAAACAAATTTATTAAGTATGTTTAAGATGACAGATTTAAGTCAGTCTTACTCAAATCATTTAGTTTACTTTAAATAAAGAAGTAAATTAATAAAGGATCTCTTTTTTCAAAGGGTTTTTGGCTGAGGCAGCCTTTATTTGAGCGTAGTTATTCAGGAAAGGGGTTAATAACAGAAAGGAAGACCTGCAGCTAAGGTCATCAGGTTGGGCATCAAACCTGCAAAGGCTGTGTCAAGGACTAAGTCCTCCTTATGTGGATTGTGCTCTACCGCTGCACCACCACAGCACCCTGGTTGGTACAGAATCTGTCCCTGGTAAGCTTGAGTCATGGTGTCAGACGTGGGATACAAATATGGTATTGAACTTAATTCTTTCAAGTAAAGTCAAAGTAAAAAGGTCCTTTAAGGAAAAGATTTGTAACTTTTTTTTGGACTGCAAACTAAGAAGTTTTCAGCCCAAAATATTTAGTTTGGAACTACTTAAAAGTTTGAGTTGACTTTTAAGTAGTAGTTCTGTAGAATTACGTCAAAGATAATTTAAATGTTTATTAGAAGAAAATAAATGATTTGAGTAAGAGTGACT